CTACTGGGCGTATAGAGGACCAAGCTTTTTGAGGACCTGCTAGAACTCAACAAGAGGTGAAGTACTCTGCATAATGACCCAAGAAACCAGGGGAGTCCTAGGCTTATTCGGTGCTATTCAAGAAATTGAGCACTTTAACAAAAACACCCTTGCTAACTAGGGGCGTACAACATCATCCTAAGAGGGGTGATTTTACCACTGTCTCAAACTTAAAGACATATATTACCTCACAGGGCAATGGGGAACAGGGGCCTTAACAAAGAGACAAAGAGACTCTAAGAAGAGGAGCCCTGCCATACTCACACCCAAGTGGTCTTAAAGTAGTTTTTTTCTATTTAGAGAAACCACTATGTTAGAGAAACCTCATAAAGAATATAAACACTCTGTCGAGCTCTCGAGAGCGGAAGCCTCAGCAGATAACTCTCTGGAGTGAGAGGAAGCCTAACTACCCCTCCGAGCCCACAGAGAGGGAACTTGCTACCTCTGCTTATCACCACTGCAATACTAGCCAATTTCAGATCTGGCTGCCAGAAACTTAGTGAACAAAAAGTGACAAAGGCCCTGTAACAAACTAACCACATTGTAAGCGTAACCCATCCTATCAAGGAAAGATGAAAAGAAGGGTGTGTACAGGGAAAGAGGCAATTACCTGTCTCTGCTCGTCCCAAGGTGCTCATGTCTGGCCTGAGCTACTTCCCTGACACCCTGCTTCTTCCTCCTGGACTCGCACCACCTCAATGTCCTACTTCTGCCAGGAGGAGGGGCACGAGTGGCGACTGAGATGGGCCAGGGGTGTGGCCCTGGACCGGCGCGGCATACAAAATCTATATGCCACTGAGCGCGCCTTCGCCTACCTGAACTTTCCGACCACTGTCTCAACAGAGGTCCCAAAAAGCTCAGAGGGTGAAACTGGGGCATCGAGGAGAAAAGTTTTCTCTTTTTCCCTGATGCCTGCCAGGTTCACCCACAGAAGCCCATCCCTTGCCAACATGGCTGCCAACGATATTCCGATCATGGTTGTTTGGTGGCCCGGAGAGCCAAGTCTGTGATGCAGTGCAACTCAACCACCGCATCTGGGGTTAGACCCTACCCCTCCCTCAGCAGGTCAGCCTGGTACGCCTGCAACACAGCCATTGTGTGCAGCGCAGCACCAGCCTGACCCCGCTGTGTATGCCCTGCCATTCAGACGAGATGTGGTCTGGAGTGGTCTAGATGGCAGGGTTGAGGCTCTTAGTGTCGATGCCTCCCCTTGCGAGAGATAGGTCGCAATTGTCTCCTCAACGGGAGGCATTGACACATACCCGTGCTCTCGCATTCCCTCCACATTCAAGTAATTAGAATGTTGGAAACGGTGAGTGTGAGAGGAGTACGGGTTCTTCCATGCCTTCACAACCTTCATGTGGAGGTCGAAAAGGAATGAAAGCGCTCATCAAGCCTTCCATGAGCGGCTTACCTTCATGACAACTCAAGCCTAGAGGTGGCGCGCTCCATCACCTCGAGCAGCATATATGGGGTAGGTGGATGGATAGGTTAAGCCATTTCAGTATATTCACCACCCTCGAGAAAAAAGACAGATGAGAATGGAATGCTCTTGAACAACAGTCACAGTCCACGCACTCTGTCCCCTCGAGAACAGAGCGCGTGTGCTCTTCCCCCAGACAAAGGACGCAAAGGTTGTGAGTGTCACAAGGTGTGTAACTCACAGTGTAGTAAAACAGTACCTGAAGACGAAAAGACGATGACATGTTTTCTAGGCGCCCCTTTTACTGTACGTTCACACCGCCGCCGACTTGAGCTTCCAAAGCGGCCGGAAGTTATTCATTTTCAATGGAAGCTGTCTTTTCTCAGCTGCAAGGAGCGTCAAATCCATCGGCGTCGCGTTTTGAGCATCAATCAGAAAGTTGAAAGAAGCTCAACTTAATGGTAATGAGCTGTGACGTGGTTCAGCGGCAAAACGCCAGCAACCAATTGGAATATAGACATCCTTTACGCTGGCTGATTCCGGAGAAACATGAATGTAAACTTTCATTCCTTCCAAAAAATTAGCTCCGAAAAAATGAAAGAGAAGCTAATCATCGCCGTTGCTGTGTTTCCTACTGGTTTCGTATCATTTATGACATGACGTTGTTTGCTTATAGCTCAACTTTTATTTGAAAAATTTACGAACGCTCATTTTTAAGCGCAATAATAATAATAGTAGCTAACAATTTTTTTCCCGACCAAATGTGACACAAAACGGTTATAAATATGCTGTCATTAAAAAAAGGTTTCTTCAATGTATTGCTTGTTTTTTTTTTCTATTTATTACATTTCATGATGTAAAACCTCTTTTCTCCCTGCCATGTCAGAGCGTTCAAAGCATCCAAAGCGTCAACAAGCTTGACCATACTTTTTGACAAGCGTCCTTGACAGGGCAGCCAGAGCTTTTGTGACGCTCAAGTCGGCGGCGGTGTGAACGTACAGTTAAGCCTTGTGTATAATCGAAGCGTTTGCAAGAGCGCGCGGCAAAAATGATGTCATTGCGGTGTGGGCGGTTGTGCGCATTGGGTGCGCAAGACCACATATCACCTGGCAGTGTGCACGGCACTTTTTAGAACATCGCGCGTGGCGCCACATCCGAAGATGAACGACCTCGAGCCGAATCTGGCCAAACTGGTACGATCTGTACCAGTCCTGCTATACACAAAGACATTTGCATGGATGGGCGGCCATAAAATCTCATTTTGTGAACAGAAACACATTTGCATTAAGCACCTAGTTTGCACTTGTCTAAAGTAATTGGTTTCATTTACAAAATAAGCCTACAATAGCAGAAGTAAGCCCTGATAGTAAAATTAAGGTTTAAACACTCTCCAATAAGGCTTCAGTTGTTTAACTAGTTTACATGCAGTGAAAGTAGGCTACAATTTACTGCATTTACTCTTTTATGAATTAGCAATTAATAAACTACTAATAAACGGCAAACTACTTCTTCACTGCTGATTCCTGGTGGTTTACTCTGAGTTCGCCCCCTGTCGTTTCGCAGAATAGCACAACGGCGAGCGCGTCAAGTATAAACGCCTCGTCCGTTTGGAGAGGTGCGTGCGCAGTCAGCGGAGCCTCGCGCTCGTGCGGACGCATCGAATATAACCAAGGCTTTATACTTCTAGAGCATGACGTCATGGCTGATGCCAGCCAACAAGGTTGTCGTGATTATACAGTGTATCAGTCATGCTGAGGGGTTTTTCCTAGCGCTATGATGCAGTGCAGGTTCCCTTTAAAAAGGTAACTTGATTTTCACCACAGGGGGACTTCAACAATCATTTAGTGATATACACTCACCGGCCACTTTATTAGGTACACCTGTCCAACTGCTCGTTAAAACTTAATTTCTAAGCAGCCAATCACATGGCGGCAACTCAGTGCATTTAGGCATGTAGACATGGTCAAGACAATCTCCTGCAGTTCAAACCGAGCATCAGTATGGGGAAGAAAGGTGATTTGAGTGACTTTGAACGTGGCATGATTGTTGGTGCCAGAAGGGCTGGTCTGAGTATTTCAGAAACTGCTAATCTACTGGGATTTTCACGCACAACCATCTCTAGGGTTTACAGAGAATGGTCCGAAAAAGAAAAATCATCCAGTGAGCGGCAGTTCTGTGGGCGGAAATGCCTTGTTGATGCCAGAGGTCAGAGGAGAATGGCCAGACTGGTTCGAGCTGATAGAAGGGCAACAGTGACTCAAATAACCACCCGTTACAACCAAGGTGGGCAGAAGAGCATCTCTGAACGCACAGTACGTCGAACTTTGAGGCAGATGGGCTACAGCAGCAGAAGACCACACCGGGTGCCACTCCTTTCAGCTAAGAACAGGAAACTGAGGCTACAATTTGCACAAGCTCATCGAAATTGGACAATAGAAGATTGGAAAAACGTTGCCTGGTCTGATGAGTCTCGATTTCTGCTGCGACATTCGGATGGTAGGGTCAGAATTTGGCGTCTACAACATGAAAGCATGGATCCATCCTGCCTTGTATCAACGGTTCAGGCTGGTGGTGGTGGTGTCATGGTGTGGGGAATATTTTCTTGGCACTCTTTGGGCCCCTTGGTACCAATTGAGCATCGTTGCAACGCCACAGCCTACCTGAGTATTGTTGCTGACCATGTCCATCCCTTTATGACCACAATGTACCCAACTTCTGATGGCTACTTTCAGCAGGATAATGCGCCATGTCATAAAGCTGGAATCATCTCAGACTGGTTTCTTGAACATGACAATGAGTTCGCTGTACTCAAATGGCCTCCACAGTCACCAGATCTCAATCCAATAGAGCATCTTTGGGATGTGGTGGAACGGGAGATTCGCATCATGGATGTGCAGCCGACAAATCTGCGGCAACTGTGTGATGCCATCATGTCAATATGGACCAAACTCCCTGAGGAATGCTTCCAGCACCTTGTTGAATCTATGCCACGAAGAATTGAGGCAGTTCTAAAGGCAAAAGGGGATCCAACCCGTTACTAGCATGGGCTACCTAATAAAGTGGTCGGTGAGTGTATGTAAGTAATAAGAAATAAGTAAGAACTGTAAATAGTCACTAAAATGCCATCCTGTAAAAATGAAATGTGTGATAAAATTTTGCCAAATACACTGTACCTGTTTTTTATTTATTTATTAGTATTGTAGTATTGTTACTTTTAATATTGTACATTTTCAAACTATCATGGAATTCTCAAATGTGTCCTGCGCTTTATTAAATGTTTATGTTTAGCCCTTTTGGATATTTTCACCTGATTTAGGAACATTAATGGAAATATGAAATGCCATTTCAAGCTGTCATTAAAAGTTCAAAGGCTGCAGAACATTACAACTACAGAGAGAATATGGTCTCATTAACTGTTTTTTTTCTTTTTTTTTTTTTTCTTTTTTCTGGAATACAAATTCCCACCCACATGATGTTCAAAACTCACTGGCATTATGACTGAACAATGTTTCATTAATTCAAAACAACAAAGTGAATCACATTATAACCAATGAATGATGAATCAGGATAATTTTATTTTAAAAAAAGTTCATAAATGATAATTTTAAAAACAAACTATGTCCAGTCTAATTTCTCTTAACACTGCTTTTCAAAAGACTCCTCGACAATGAGGTGTTGTGCACAAACAGAGGATTCATTTCACATATGGACTCCAAAATTGACTTTGCTTGTGCTATTCGAAATTTTCAGTTTAAAAAACAAACATTTATAGGAAGACACTGAGGACAAAAGTATGTATTATTTGTGCCTTGATCTGTTGTTTTCTTTACTACGTAGCAGGCAAAGCCAAAAACACTGAAC